TTGGCGCGTCCTCTCTTCTTCTTAGTCCAGGCATCGTTCTCATCGAGAACACGGCCAGTTTGTCGCACCTGGTTGATTTGATAATAACCCGCTACTAACCAACTGCGCAGGCATACCTTACTACGAGTCATTCTTTGCGCTTCGTCAGCATCATTATGACGTTTCCCATGTCGACCGCGAGGACCTTTCCTTGCACCACTGGAATGACTCGAAGAGTGCTAAAGAAGAACTTTGAATGATATCGCACAAAAAGGAGTACAGAGATTTTGACCTGATGACCAGTGTGTTCACCATGTATATCTTCTTCAGATTGTGCGATAGGTAAGGAGATTCGCAAAGGAGGAACCTAACAAATAATTTGACTGATCATTATCGTATGGCCTTCAATTAATTCCGCACTATGTTATTCATTCATCTGAATCAAAAAGGACAAATTAGCCATCAGAAATAAAAGTGTTCATTTTATATAATAACACTCGCTTGTTTTAGTGTATAAGTGATCGTCTATTACAGCAAGTGAATCTTTGAAGAACGCAACAGATGAATGGAATATCTTAGCTTTCAAATGCGAAGACAGCTGATGAAAATATGTCATGAACTGACTTTTCTATCGCTGACATCATGCCTACAGTTTCCATCATCTTCTTCAACTTCATCCATTTCGATATCCCCTAAATCAGTAATCCGTCAAGAAAAACTCCAGCTACGTCCAAATACACCTGAATGAGCACTGCCTCCATGGCTCTCTGGTCGATTCTCTGTAAGACGCTGGCGTTTCGCGCTAGGAGGAGCAGAGCATTCCCGTTCGTCACGGTTGCCAAAATCAGGATTCTGAATAAGACAACCTTTAAGGGAAATTGCAAATGAAAACAGAACCTTACCGGTGTGAATTCACTTTCTGGACTACTCTTAAATTCATAAACATCATCAGCTGACGTAGCTGGAGCGCTGCTGCCTACTTCGGATTCGACTGCATCCCCAACACGAGATAATCCATTACCCCTGCCACGTTTGCTCCCACGCCCTCTTCTAAACACGTGTAAATCGCATGACAGCAATAGCGCTAATCAGCAGCTACAACAAAAAATGGCAACACTACATTTATTTCCTCTCTTCCTTGTTCCTCACAGATGGAATATAAATAAGTTCACGATTCATACAACTCTACCATTTAGTATTGATTTTGAATGAGACCGAAAAAACCAAAATCATGAGTGTTTCCACTTTTCCAGGTAAAAACAAAGTCTTCAACTTTTTTTT